AAATCAGGTATTTTTATCTATACTAATAATTATTATCTATTCAGTTAAATTTCTCCTTGGGAAAAATGTTTTGAATTCACTGAAACAGTATTATAGTATAAAGAATAATAATAATAATTTTATAAACAAAATGGGATCACCTCTTAGTGGAGTGATGGCATGTATTTTCTTAAAATTTCTCAAATCCCGTCTCTTCTGAAATATTTTACCCAAACAATCAACATACTTCCAACATATTGATGATGCCCTATTAAGAGATCATCATGATATTGATTTACCTGACCTTGTAGATAAACCAAACAAAATCAAACATACAGTAAAATTTACATATGAAGTAGAATACGATTCTTTGCCTATCATGCTACATTGTCTTAACAACAGCTTAAAATTTGATGTCCACTGGAAATCAACCAACAAAAATGATCTAATAAATTTTCTCATTATAACAACAAATTAAAATCTAGTATAATCATCAGATTCTACTTAAGAGAATGCAGAATTTGCAGCCCTAAATATTTACATGAAGAGAAATACATTGAAAACATTGTTTTCATTTTTTTTTTTAAATTATAACAATTTATAAAGTTCCAAAAATCTTTGAAATTCTTCAAAACTTTATCTCATTAAGTTAAGTTAAGCAAAAAAAATTTTATGCGTATAAATGCACCCATTTTAAAAATATGGATGACCATACACAATATTATCAGAAAATAAGCTTGATCTTGATAGTAAATTTAAAGTCAACATTCCTAAAATTAGATGACAGAGAATATTTCCAACATTTTTAAGATTACTGAGTGCTTAAAAATAATATAAAAATGCACTCACCCATCATTTTCTTAAATTATGTTTTAACAGATAAGTCTCTGGAGAACAACAATAAAACTGTCAGTGTTTGTTAAGTGATTGACAGGCGATATAAAGCACATAATTCACCACTACTGTTTGTTTTAAAAATCCATTTTTCTGTTATTTTCAACTTAAAGTAAATAATATTATTTTCAAATCAAATTAATTATACTTTAAATCAGTTAATATACCTCAAATCCAGTTTCAGAAAAGTATATTTTATTTTTGGAAGATCTTTTTTTTAATACAGAGAATTACATTGCAATGAAAGATGCCTAAAAAAAGGGCACCAATCAGCCATTTTAGTTAATAAATAAAACACCAATTCCAATCAATATAATTTGTTTGCAATACATAAGTGTATTTTGCATATTGAAAATAGTTAATTTAATATTTTAGCTTTAAATTAAAGCTAAAATGAAAGCTTCAAGAAAGCTTTATAAAAATTCATTTTAAACATTAGGTATAGCAAATTAGTGAAGGTACCTATACAAAACCATTTGACATGGTACAGCACAAGGATCTATTTGAACTACAAGGAAAACTAGATCTACTTGGGAAAAAATGTTAGAATAATTAGAAACTTATACAGGAAGCATGCTGCCTATATATAGATAGAAAATGAATTGAGTAGCAACACAAAAATAGAAAATGGGGTGAGACAAGGATCTATATTTTCCCCAGATTTATTCAATCAACCTCTACAGGGAGGCTATCCTAAGGAAGCTGGTGACCTTACCAGGATTTTATTATTGGTGTGTGTAAACTTAATACAAGATAAGCAAATGACAATAAGTTGATGGTTGACATGGAAAGAAAACTACAGGACTTCCTAGACAGGGTGATAGAAGGAAGTGAGAAAAAAGACCTAACCATCAACTGCAATAAGACAAAAAGCACAGTCATCAGCAAAAGAAGAAGGCCAATATGTGAGTTACAAAATGGAGATATCAACATGAAGCAAGTACAAAAGTTTAAATATCTGGAAAGTGTTTTAACAGAGGATAGAAAATGTGACACTGAAATCTGAACACACATTGGACTAGTGAAAGATGCCTTTCAGAAACTAAGCAAAGTGCTGAAAAACAAGTATTTCATTAGAAGAAAAGAAAAGAGTGCTGGATGTGTTATCCATCATCTTATATGGCAGTGAATGCTGGACAATCTCCGCATAGAGAAAGAGAAAACTGAAGACAAGGAAAATGTTCTACAGAAGGATGATGAGAATACTATGAACAGAATGAGTAAACAACAAGGAAGTCTTAAAATAGCAACAAAAAGAAAGCTTATGCTCAGAATCAGAAAGAGGCAACAGAACTTCCTTGAAAACATGAAGAAGGAAGGATTGGAAAACTTAACTCCCATGGAACATATTAAGGGCAAGAGAAAGATAGGGGAAGGCAGTGAGTCACTTACCTGACAAGCTTGTGTGAATGGATGGTAGAACAGGGCCTTAGTAAAAGGAGAAAAACTGCTAAGGGTCACAAGGGATAGGAAGTTTTGGAGAGCCATGATCACCTGTGTTCTGAAGGGACACAGTACATACAAGAAGTACTCTCGAGAAATATGGTTGTATTATCATATACTTAAAGTTATGTGGGTCAGTTGTCAATTATTCAAAATGATAACAATCATAACCCCTATCACTAAATTAATTAGTTTTATCCCCACACAGTCAAAAGTCAATTGTATCAGCCAAGCTTGGCTTAGAAAATTAAATTTTGCATGAAGGTTATCTAAAAATCAAAAAGCTGTGACTTGTCTCAAAATAAGACAAGACGTTATGTATTAATCATGACGGGTTTCTTTATTTGTACAGTGCATTAGGCTCAAAATTCCCAACAGCACAAACCTATATCAAGTTACTGGTTTATGTACACAGATGTTAAGGAGGTTTTAACACCTAAATAAACTTATTATTTACAGTGCAAAAGTTGATTGCTCTATGCTATGCTCAACACTACTGTACATTTTGCAATACTTGGATATAACCGTGAGAGTTGAAGCCAAGAAATAACTATTGTGTTGATGACCTGAACCTTGGATTCTTCCTTTCCTTTTCACTATTCTTGTGGGAGGGCCATGGCTATCTTCTTGAGAAAGAAGCCATTAAAATGTTATTTGCGTAACCACTTGATTGCTCTTAATAAAATTCTACTGCTGTTTGGACACTGATAACTCTTGAAAAGAGACTTCTGTCTTTCATTATGGCCCACTTCTCAATGTTTCGATTATCACAAACAACTTCTTACTTATACAGCATTTCAACATTTGATAGCAAAAGAATTTCTTCATTTCAAATAACAACTTCAAATTTTCACATCTCTTTAGCCTGGATGATATGAAGCAAATGGATTGCTTTTGCAAAGTGGTTTAATACTGATAAATATGAATTAAATTATTTCTACAAATAGCTCATTAATTCTATGAATTGACTGTTTATTCTTTATTTTTAATTAAAGTTCATCCAATACAGGGCTCAAAAGCCACTCAAAGTAGAGGAATACTGTTAAAATGGGAATGATGAATAAGATGTGATATGAATGAAAGGTGATAGGAAGAGAAAAATATGAAGATAACAAGGATATAAAAGAAGTGACCTTTGGTTTGAAGACTGTAGTGTTTAGGGAATCATCCATGTGGAACTCTGTTCTACATATGAAGTGGCAGTTCTTTGAGAAAAAAAAACTTTTTTTGTGGAACTTTCTTTTTATATTTGGAATAAAAAGGAAATGAGAGTGATTCAACTCAATGGAAAGAGCACTATGTGTCTGAGTTGTAAAGGTGTAAAATAGTGGAACTAAATAGAGCTCATTGACAAATTTACCATACAAACAGAAGTTCTATATCAGAGGCAATTGCAGGAATCAATATAAGTCAACAGAAAGCAAATCTTACTTGATGAGTTTTGATCCAAGAAAATCTAACAAATCAGTCAAAATTTTATTATTGAATTCATTATATACATTGATCAATTATTCATATTACTTAGATATACAAAAGGATTAATTTATTGTCCATAACTGTTTGTCTGTAAATGATTCTGTCCCTGAAAATAATAGCTTACTTTAGGCAATGGTGACTTAGTCCCATTCAAAGAATTCCTCTTAGGATATATCCCAGTATTCCTTCCACTTTTCAAAACAGTCTGCAAAATCCTCTTTTAGGGTCACCATCAGCTTCCTTGCCACAATCACTTTAATCATGTCCACCGTTTGAAATCTTCCTTTCAGTGACAGATTAAGTTTTAAAAAGCTAGAACATGAAGCAAAATCTGCACTAGTTATCATGGTGGGGAGCTGAAAAACTTTGTATGATACAATGTTTTGCTAAAATCTCTTTGCACAAAACATGGGCAGTCAAAATATTCAGAATAGCTAGATACCTAGTTTTCCTAATTCTTGCTCTGTCAATCAACAATTTCCTATGTCGTCAAACCACCTACAGTCAATCGAGTGTTTTACTATCTGAAGGCATCCAAAAACAAAGATACTTTCATCGGATTCTTAGCCAAGCCTGAAAGGTCAGTATCAAAATATTATCTAGGCTTTGAATCCTCAAAAGCCTTCTCAATGAACTGAAAACTTTCAATGGAAAAATATTCACTGCTCAACTACAATATAGTAGCTGGGAATGTCTAGTCACATTACACACAAGTTCCCAGTGACATCTTATTGATAACCAAGTAACCCCATTGGAGAAGGTTACCAACTAACATAAAATTTGCACAATCACTTCTCAAGATTAAAATGGCTGGATACTTTCCAGACAAACTTCATACTTGAATTTTGCACAATCATGTTATACAGCTATTGTCAGAAATTCACAAAATCAATCAAGATTGTTACGAGTCTTATTTTAAATGGTTTAAAATAGAAAATGGTCTAGGTGAAATAGAAAATATAAAGGGTAATCACAAATTTGCATAGGCGGAAGTAGATAGAGTGAGAGTCCAGCTTAACCTAACAGCATCTTGACTTTGCTGAATCTTTTCTTATTGCCATAAATTAAGAGAAAGGGAATGAAGGCAACTGAGAGAGCGCTTACATATTTTCAGCCAGGCGGCTGAGAGAGCGCTTAGATATTTCAGCCAGGCGGCTGAGAGAGCGCTTAGATATTTCAACATCAAAAGATTAAAGAACAGAACTCACGTGTGATAACTCTTGCATGAGAGTTTCATTTTGTAATCGAAATTCATCCTCCTGACTTTGCAGCTTTCTCTGCAAAGCATCATTTTCTTGAATCAAGATCTCCACATCCTAAAATGGACAAAAAGAAAGGAAATAAATGGTAAAAACCAATAATGGAATGGATTTCAATAACATGTGCAGAAGAGCAAATAATCAATCAAGTTACAAAGATTAAAAAAAGAAAAAGAAGTAAACGAAAGTCAGTGCAAATGTTAGAAATCCTGCTTTTATGATGCAAGTTCAAAAGAACAATTAATTGATATGAACCAATGAGATTATTCCTCTAAGCTAAATTAAAGCAAATGGCTTTTTCATCAAGCAGGGATATGTAAATATTTCTTCTTTTTTTGTATTGTTGCAATTCAAAAATTATTATTATTAATATTATTATCATCATTCCTTCATTCAAAGGTTTCCATCAATAACTGTTAAAGCTAGATGCTAAGTCCCTTCATATTTATTGAATTTATACTATAATTATTTATTTATAATTATTTGCAAATAATTAACTAAATAAGAGGATGAATTGATTTGTTTTTTTTCTATAGTTTGTTAAACTTTTATGGGTTATTTTAAAGCGAAAACATATTTTGGATTGCCAGAATAATTCTTTTTTTTATTTTTGTGAGTGAATATTGCATTAATATTTTGGAGATAATGATTTTTTTAATACAAGTCCTACACCTCCAGCCAGAATAAGTTTAACCCCTAGTTGTGGGGAGAACAAACAGATTCATATCTTTCTCAAGGGTTTTTGTACATAAGTGAATCCAACCTAAAACTGAAATTCGAACTAGTCTCTCTGATTTCTAATTTGGAGCTACTATGTATTAAAACACTGAGACATCCCTAAATAAAAAAAGAAATTATCCTATAAATTGCAGTTAATGCATCTGGGAGTATCTCACTTAATAAATTGGATCAATGTGAGCATCAATACAGATCCAATACTAATATTATGCAAATTACACTGAAGCTTGCCTTGTTTTCCAAATTATAGCATTTTAATGAGATTGTGCTAATAATAATCTTAGTACAATGTGCCATTTTTGCTTTTATGATAAATATACAAAAATCAAAACATAGAAAATTATTTTCAAATTTTTGTAATGCTAATATTGTAGTCTATAATCAAATTTTCACACACAGAATGATGAACTGAGATTGCTGGGTGTTTTTAGTAGGAGATTATAGTATCCATTCTAATATTTAAATTAGCATATCACTAGACAAATACATAAGGGAAACTACACTATTATTAATTTTTATTATAGCTGGATTTATCACCCTTCCACTAATCTAATCATTATAGATTGAGATTGGCATAAACATTTATTCACAGTCTTAACTCATAAATTAGGGTAGAAATTGCTTTACTCCTTTTTAAAGATATTATGCTAGCAAAAATGTTAATGATTTGCTGTTTTTGCTGCAAAGCAAATTATAATACAGATTAAGCATTTAGACAATCACATTGACGAGGTCAAAGTTACTGATGTCACAACAGCTTTGAAAACCACTAAGAAAAGTTCAAGTCTTGTAGAAAGCAAACAAGGCCAGCTACAAGTCTTTTAATGTTTCTTCTGAACATGTACATAGAATAAGGAACTATAAGGCTTGAACTTCTTTCTACAATAGTTTTCTTAAGAAAGCTGCTTAATGTTCATAAAATCAGCAATACTCACAGGTCATAAATAACTTTTGTTCACTTTCTTTTTAAACTTGATGCAAAAGAGAAAAATGAAGTCAGTGTATAAAAGACTAAGGTGAGAATAATGCTTGCCGCCCCCACAAATACAAATCAGTTTATTTTATTGCTTGCCAGAAAGAAAAAAAATATTTCTCTACTGCCTAGAATTTCCAAAACCACACAAAAAGTTACCAGAACTTTTGTTAATTACAAATTGGCATGTCATTTTATGACAAGTATTTCGGATTTAACTAGACAATATAACACTTTTACCACAAGTTTCTCCATTTCTTCTTGACAAGCAAATTATTATCTTTTAACTGAATTTAGTCTGAATGTAAATAAATTTATTAAAAAATATACACATCAGTGAATAATTTACAACATTATCCCTAAGTCCAGAACCTGATGAAAAAAAAATTAATTTTTATTTTAAATTTTCATTGTATAATGTTCAATATTGAATGTATGGTTGTCCTCATCACTTTCTCCCTTGTCTCTTTGTTCTCATAAAAGCAAAGAAATCACATTTCTTTCCATCTTAACATACAACTACAAACAAGGAACTTTAACACTCATAGATGCTGAGAAAAATTTAGTTGTAAAAATAAAAATATTCTTTATTTTTATATTTAAAAACCTTTCTTGCTTTTTTCTTTTCTGTGGATTGATTCAAATCTGGAAAAAACTTAGTAAAAAGCTACAAAGTATAGGAAATTGTAGTCATGATTACCCACATCCTGAAGGTACACAGCACATAGAAGAAGTATATGCGAGATATAATATTTGTTCTTATAATACAAATAATTGATTTTATAATATTCAACCTTAATATTCAACACTGGCTTAAAGATTATAATGAAAAATAATTTTTTTTTTCATCATTATGGACTTACTGGTGCACCTAAGATCCGATTTAAAAAAAAAAAAAAAAAAAAAAAAAAAATAGCTTCATTATCTTTTCTTATTTGAAGACATTCAGTTCTATTTTAAAAAATAAAACAATAACCTCAATCTTTGGCCATATTATCTTTCATAATTTCTTTCAAAAAATCTGCTTCAATTTTAAACCATCTAAATCATATATAATTATCCTAACTAGAATGCTGCCAGCCATATGACAAAAAAAATTTAAAGCTGAAAAGATTCAAAAGTATATTTCTACTGAGTAATGTCAGGTTTTGTTCCTATAATACAAATAATTGATCTTATAATGTTCAATCTTAATATTCAACACTAGCTTAAAAGTTATATTAAAAAATAAATATTTTTTCATTACAAATTTACTAATACACCTAAAATCTGATTTAAAAAAACAAAAAAAAAAACTTATTTCCTTCTTTTATTTGAAGATATTCAGTTCTGTTTTAAGTTGAGCAAAATCATTTTCGTTTGGCATTTCTCTAATTTATTGGTATATAATGTCGATTATTCTATATTACATTATTCCTCTTATAAAAATTAAACTAAAACTCTTAAACATCCCAAGAACTTGTATGAAGAATTGCTTGAATAACAGAAATCCTAATGAGAAAATGATTGCATGAAGCAGATACATAACTTTGAAGACAGAGGTACAGATTGGATAATCCCAGTCTATTTTAAATAATTCATTTTCTGGAATTTGTTTTTTCTTTAAATATTTATCACTTTAAGGTTTGAACCCAAAATAATTAACAGATTTACTAAACACTTTTGAATAACTGAGACAAATCAGTTATTTCTATTAGGAATAACACCATGCTTCAGTGTTTTTCTTTCTACTCTACAAATTGTATTAGAAAAGTTTTGACACATAAATGATGATAACATGCAGTATTACTACTTTGAGAGTTTAGACAATTTATGAAGAAAAAAGGAAAAAGATGCAAATAAAACTAAAACTTGTCAAAATGTATAATTTCTACAAGGTCTGTCTAGAAAATATCTAGACAGTTAAAAATTAATAAATCAAAAATGTCTACCTAGAATAATGATGCCTTAGTCCCCTTCAAAGTACTCCCCTTTGTGGTCACATATACTTATTCCAAAGTCTCTTCTACATTTCTTCTGTAAAATTCTCTTTTGGAATAACCTTCAGCTATGCCATTGTTTTGTTTTTTTTTTCTTATCCATGACAATTTTAATATTGCCCACAAAAAAAAACCTGGATAGTAGACAAAGGTTGACTAACCCTGGGTGATGCAATGTTTTATAAAAAAAGCCTCATACAAGACAAGACTAGATTGACACCGTTTTGAATGCAAAACATACAGTACAGAAGATCACACAATGTTATCTCACTGCCAGACATTGCTCTCCACAAGTAAGGTCCTTTCTGACTGACTGCCAAGTTACATCAAGGCTTCACAACCAGTCCAAATAATGTCCAAACAGATGACACAATTATTTATTCTTTATTACATTAAAAGAAATAAAGAAATGATTGTAAATAGGATATAAACTGTGTTTATAAAAGTACCAATCAGATACCTTGCCTCAAGTTTTGAAGAGAGGTGTTGTCTTTATTTGATGACTTAGTTAATCTAGCATTGACCTCATTGACCTTGATAATCAATTCTAATATTTGCAAATGAGAAGATTTTGAAATTGCATTGAGAAATTTTGTGAAATGTCAAGAAGCTTGCCATTTGGACTAGTGGCTGCATTTGTTTGAAAATCTGGGTAGGATTTGTAACATCATTCTGTTGAGACACAAAATAGCAGAAGTGGGATGGTTTAGGATAAAAGACTTCAAACAATAATTTTGAGGTGGGAAAAAAAAAAAGACCAACCTGTTTTGTGATAATTTTTTGTTATTTACTGACAAAAATGAATAACATTTGCTGTTATATCAAAATGTCAAAGTAATGACATTTTTTAGAAATTTTTTCTGCTTTGTATTCACAAAATTTCTGAAGCAAACATTCCTAAACTGACTAAATGCTTTATCATAAAATGGAAACCTGTTTTTACATTTGATACAAATAGTTACGCATAGATATAGAGAGCGATTGTAGATAAGTGAATCAGTCATGTAGCATAAAAAAAAGGAGAAAGGGTCATTATTAAACACAAATATCAAATGACAACCTCTGAAATATTATCAGGAAGGAAATTGGAACAAGTCACTGGGCTTAACATTTTTAAAAGTAAGTTTAATAGTACTTCATGTCATATAACATGTGCTGTTTTAATCAAATTTAACATCTAAAAAGTACCTGCAATTGATGCATAAAGTATACAAATTTTAGCAGTACTTAACACTTAATATTTTCAAATGAGATTTGCAAAGAAACTCTGGAGGAATTGGCTACAAATTTTCAAAATTCAAAGATTTTGATAACAACAACTTTTCCAAAGCAGTTGAATTTTCCTAATTACATTTGTTTTCTTTGTA